CATTTAAAAATCGATTGGTTTACCTCAGAATCGATTTATATTTAATTTTACTTTTCCTAAGAGGTGGTGGGGATAAGTTAGCGCTTTTTAATTCCAACAGAGGGCGAAATGTATAGGTGTGTTCGACTTGAAGCAGCACCACGCAGATCAATCTGCATATGACATCAAAGTACCGCGAGAGCGATTCGAAAGCATGCGGAGCCATCTGCTCTCTGTAGCTCTCGCGGTGCTTTGATGTCATACAGCAATCCTTCTGTGTGCGCAGTGCCGCTGCATTAGATGATGTCATATACGTTTCAAGCCGGCGCGAGAAAGCAAAACCATGACGAAGGCAGAGGATCAGACCTCTTCCAGAATTCTTTCTGCACTTTCCCGTTTTGAATCCCAAGTGTGGAAACACTTTGGATTTTACACACTGCCGGGAAAACATGACTAAAACGGTATGCAAAGTAACATAGCACTTTATTTTACTCATTTTGCTGAACATTTGGCTATTATATTCACGTGGTTCGGGGTTTTGGTACTTGAAAGTTTCATGGTTCAAGGTACTTTAAATATACACTGTGTATGTGTATGCTCCTGAAATAAAAGTTCAGAAAGATGTGATGCATTGTTTTTGTTAATATGACTCATTTACAGTCTCTTTTAAGGGTAGAATCAAGTATTTCCAGTCTTTAATAAGCAAACAAAAAAAATCACAATAAACTGTAATATCGAATCGCAATAGTTATATAATCGCAATACTCAATTATAGCAATACATATTGAATCGGCACACAAGTATCGGGATAGTATTGAATCGGCAGATTAGCATATCGTCCCAGCCCTACTACTTTGCATAAAATTATGTATGGATAAAGAAGTAGCCCAAGTTGCTCTAGTGCAGTAAATGTTCAGCATGAAATATTAATAACAATACAAATGTAGTTCTTCTGTTTACTTAATAAAAATGCCTATTACTTGCTAAAATAGTATGAGCCATCAAGTGGGGTCAGAAGTCATGTAGTAGATTGTGTATAATAGGTTTATCAGCAAAGTTTTTATTAAGTTGATAATTTAGAGGCTTTACAAATTCATGTATCATATATGACACACTGGCTTTATAGAGTTAAGATGCATGCACTAGCAAGAAAAAAGGCCAGCCTGAGTGCACCGTTTCTCATTTCACATGCAAAGACAGTGTTTACATAAAAAATCAAAGGCATAACAGTAAAAACAGCATCAGGTTTTGGCACAAATACATTTTATGTGGGTGCTTGACTCATGAGTTCTGAGTAAAGAACTTCTTTGAAAGAATTCCTAATCTCATCAGTTCAAGTCAAGGTGATTAAAATTACAAAGTTGAAAGTAAAGAATTTGTCAAGTTAAAAGTGCCAAGCACATCTCTAGTCCCCACCAGATATGTCTAGTTTCAATGTACTTTTCTCCCAGGATTATGTAATAAGAAAATAGCCTCAAACAGCAGTGAACAATGGAGAGCATTCTCTCTGTCATACTGGAGTATCAACGTGACTCAGTAGGCAAGTTTCTGTCAGAGCAGAGACTGAAAACTAATGCCTAGGATTCCACCTTGAGCTTTAATAAAGGTCACCTTTTAAATTGTTTAAGTGTTCTTCTTGAGTCGCACAATGCAACCAAGCAAGAGTGTATCACAACAAGTACAAATGGCAAGAACTGACCAAACAGACTGGTTTATGAAAACCATAGTCAACCAAACACACACGTACACTTGAATGTATTAAGTCAACTCACCGGCAAATCAACACTGACATCTGTGCTATCTAACAAAGACACTCGGCAGGTGATGATGGACTTGGCATCTCCAGCAGCAGGGATGTGTGTTGTGGCTCGCTGGGCTTCTCGGAGTCGAGTTTTCTCAGCATGTTTGCGGATGGACCGCCGGCCCAGAGTACGGCGAAGGAAGCTCAGCATGTTCAGGAAGATTCGTTTGTCCAGTCTGGAATAAAGAAACAATCTCAGTTACAAATTACAACTCGCTATGGTTCTTACTTATAACCACTTATAGTTTAACTGTGGAATCTATAATAAGACCAGTATTGAATAGATGGCACCTTATTTCTTTAAGAAAATGTAACTCAAATTTTGTGCAGCATGTATAGTAACTATTATTTAACTGAAGCATCTGTAATAAGACCACAGTTAGGGAAAACACAAAGGTTACGTCAAGGTAACAATAATTTATATAAAACAAACTGTGGCATTTATGAAAAATAACGTGGTAAGATATTTAGTCTCTAGATACAACTGCAGTTAACCAAAATTGCTACCTTCACTCTCACGAACTATAATTTCATTGTGGTAAATATTCATAATAGACAGTGGTCCGTTTAAAATATCGGTTGACAAAACGTCAAACGTTTAACGCTGCTGTCAGGCGTGCACTGTTTGAGGTTTAGAGCAAAAGCTCTAGCGAGAGTAGCGAGTGGCTCACGATCATCACGCGCTGACTGACTGAACTCCACTGACACCTGTTTGCTCAAGAAGAAAGGATGCGCATAATTTACATTTAACGGCGGAACGACCCAAAAATTTTGAATTTATTTAATAACGCAAATAGCTATACGTTACAATACGGCTGTAATATGGTTCCGAGATCTATCGCGCCCACCTCCGGCCGGGATGACCGCGCTAGCGGCGCGAATCCACTTGTTGATCCTCAGACCACAGACAAAAGCGATACGTACTGCAGCCTGATTGATATTCCGCCAATGAAACAGTCCTCTAGCCTCGGCCGTTATCAACAAACAACTTTGTGTTTTGAAATATCCATCTTCTACGCCGCAGTGTGGCCCATCCACCTAATGTTTTTGGAGGTAAGTGTAACTGATATTCTCCCGGTCCGAAAGATTGTGGGATGGCTGTTTTCCCTCAGGAAATTACGTCACGTAAATCCCTAAAAGTGGATTTACATTTAAAGGGCCGGTGCGGAGTGAAAATTGCCTCAATACTTTTTAGTTTGGTTACAACATTACAACGTTATTAAACTTACATGTATTATCTTTTAAGAAACTACAATCAGCTATTGTGTGACATGTTAGAAAGTTGTAAATCAGTTACTGAATAAAACTTTAGATCAAAGCAATACACTAAAGAATCTAGTTTGACTTCCCAATCCAGTTTCATGCACAAAAAATAACATTTAAGAGAACATTTTGGAACGTTGTGTACTAGAACGGCATATCTCCCATATCTTCCAACTTGGTACTGTAGTGGTAATAAGATGGTACTGAATGATTACTGATGATATATATATGTAGTTAGTCAGGAAGTGATGTGAGAAATTAATCACCATTATTTGTCATATATAATTGTATTCTATATGCTGAATTATTATAGCACTTTTAAAGCTAACACATTACATGCAGGTTTGCAAGAACTGCAAGAATGATTTGTAATTGTCTTGGAAGCATTGGTTAGACTGAAAATAATATGATTTCATAAAATGGATTGAAAGTGTATCTGCAGCTTTTATTCAAACTAAAAACTTGATTTTTTTGTAAAGAAAACATTTTATAATTGAAATAAGTCCAAAAATATTTAAATGTGGAATATAAAAATATTATAGTTGCTAAAAATATAAAGGCTAAGGTAACTCTGAACCACTGGCTCATCTGGGCCAGCAAAAGATCATAATGTTCTAGCTAGGAGCCAGTTGCTTTCAGGTGCTCTGTATTTTTTTTCCCCCAACAGCACCACCCACTGGTTTACTCAGTGCGTCAAACTCATAGACTGCAACTATCCTGCCAAAACCTTCAAAGGAGGAAATCAAATGTACAATGTAATTATATATATATATGCAATATATATCACATGCAAAAACGACCCAGATCACACACCTTACTTTTATTTTAAAGATTTTCTTTTTAATATACAACATTGTATGTACACTTTATAATATTTTCATAAAAATGGACAAGTGGCACAACTTGACCTTCCTGTTATTTGCAGCAAATAAAACGTTAACTCCAGTCTACAGTTGTACTCTTTGTTGAAAAAGTGCTGTCCCACAAGGCAGGAGGTGTGTAGTTTCTCCCAAATTCCATGCCATATTCCTGTTTTAAATGTTTTTTTGGTCAAATCTGTAACCTGTTCAGCATAGAATGGAATTATTTGGTCCTAAAACCAAGGTTCTCTAGCAATTATGACCACAAAGAAACATCATATGATTGACTGTAAATGTAGTACCTTACAAAAAAGTACAGGCATGGATTCAACTCTGAATTCAACTAGAGATGACCTGTGAAACTGGGCAATGGGTCAAAAATTTAATTTGAGAGATGAACAATGTTAATTTGATGGCTTCTAAACAAAGACTGTTCATAAAACTAGGGCTCAATCACATTCAAACAGTACTATAAAACACACTTACACATACAGACATCAGAAACATACAGTAATAACACAACACACACACTGGACACACTTGCTAATGTTAGCGGGATATTCTACGTGTGCAGTCTACAAGAAATAAACAGGTCAAAAATAAACAAACTCCGATTTGATTCCCAAACGTGGTACTGCTTTGACACATTGTGGTGTGTGTAACATTCAGATTTAACAACAACACAAAAAACAGTTATTATTTGCAACACTGATGCAGCTGTTATATCACCTACAGGGAATACTAAACCCTTCAATTGAATATCTGATTTTAAATGGCAAGGAGTTTATTCTTTCAGGGAATGTTTGCCTTTGGACAGATCAAATTTCTAAATGACAGTTCTCTTATAATAAAACAGCAGAGGAGTGTATAAAAAAAAGAATCAATCTAATTTTAAAGGAATCTTCTGTATGTTGATTTCTGTGGGTTGGTGGCCCGAAATTTATTATTCTACAGTCTCACAGGTTCTTTTATTTCACAACTAATTCTGTAAGGTTGAGGAACTACTAACTGGGAGGAATATGTTCAGTAATTAAAGTTACATTTCAGTCTTTTCCTGCTTCAGAAAACTTGGAATATTATTGTATTTTCTGTCATTTTATCTTGGAGGCTTTCACTGTATGGAAATGAGCAGCACAAACATTTTTCAAAACATCTCCTTTTGCACTCCACTGACGAAAGAACATCATATGGGTTTGGAAAGACACAAGGGTGAGTAAATAATCACAGCATTTTCATTTTAGTATTCCTTTAACTTCCGAACCGATATTTTGCATCAAAGCTGTAATGCAAAGTGCTTTAAAGTCCTTGTTGACAGCTTTTTAGTTTGACAGAAAAATAAATAAAAATGATTTTCATCCTGTGCCAAAAAGCGAGAACAAAGCAAACAGGAAAAAAAAGATCACTGTTGTAACAAAAACTTTTTTTTTTCTTCTTTTTTTGTTTTGTAAGTAGTTACTTATGTTGAATGAGCAGGGCTCAAAATTGAAACTAAAACAATAAATATTTCTAATAAAAATACAAATGTTCATCTGCAGCACAGGCCTGGATGTGAATGGTTTTGTGGGTGTCGTTTGTTTCCAAATAATAGATGACCACATATAAAAACACTCATTCACTCACGGGCCTGCCCTTACACACATATGGCACCAGCAATCTCCACTATATTCATTATTAACATATATATTTGTTAAAACCCGGAACACTCAAAGTCCCAACAAGTACCTAATTCACCTTAGATTTCTTTGTCACTTCTCTCTCTCTCTCTCTCCTCATTGAAGCCTGGCATATAGTCTCTTTGCCAGCGTAAAGTGCAGCAGTGCTTGGTTTATGTCCTGTGTTCCTGGCTCGAGATACTTCTCCATCACTCTGTCACGGAGCTGTAACATCATCATGTGGAGAAGATCCTGTCAGTGAATTTCAGCATCATTTTCGGGAAAAGCTGGCATTGCATTAGTTGGATTCGTACAGCGTGGACTTGAGCAGTTTCACCAGGCCCTCCTCGTAAACCTTCAGTATGGCCTCACACACAAACTTGAACTGGCTCTGAGAAAACAGAACAGAGGGGAAGTCATGGTGAATGCAAGACGTGTCCGTCTATCACACAAGAGCAGCCAAGTGTGATGGCAGTATGTGAAACTGGTATGAGAACATAATTCATGGACTGTGTGGCTGAGTGAGTTAGAGCAGGATAGAGAGAGACGGGAGAATGCACATAGAACCACTGTGGAACAAAGCAAAAGCAGAAAATAAGATGCGGACAGGAAGAAATAAAAGTCAAGAAAATATAGCTCAGGTCAATCCTTCAAAATCATTCACCAAGTAAAGCCAGAATAGCAGACCATTTTAAAAAGTGATCAAATTTAGGTACACTACCATTCAAAGTTTGGGGTTGGCAAGATTTTTAAATGTTTTTGAAAGAAGTCTCTTATGCTCATCAAGGCTGCATTTATTTGATCAAAAAATAAAAGCAGGAAAAAAACAATAATACTGTTATACATTATTACAATTCAAAATAACGGTTTCTCTTTGAATATATTTTAAAATGTAATTTATTCATGTGATGGTAAAGCTGAATTTTCAGCAGCCGTTCCTCCAGTCTTCAATGTCACATGATTCTTCAGAAATCATTCTAATATGCTGATTTGGTGCTCAAAAAACTTTTTACACATATTATCAATGTTAAAAACAATTGTGCTGCTTAATATTCTTGTGCAAACTGTGATTTAAAAAGTTGAAAAGAACAGCATTTATTTTAATCTGATTTTTTTAAATAATGTAAATGTCTTTACTGTCACATTTGATCACTTAAAGGGGTCCTATTATGCTCTTTTACAAAGTCTTGATTTTGTTTTGGGGGTGTACTAGAACAGGCTCTCATACTAGGTTGTTCGAAAAACACATTATTTTTCACATATTTTACATTATTACAGTACCTCTCAACCCAGTCTGGCATGAACGGCTCGAATAGTTCCAGTATCAAATGAAGGCCCGCCTTCTGAAATACGAAATGTGCTGTGATTGGTTAGCCAGGCCAGTATGTGTTGTGATTGGCAGCACTCAGCGCCTGGTCGGGAAATGTCATGACCCTTACCATAGCCGCCTGCGAGCTTCAGTGTAAATATTGCGTCAAAATCAAATAAATTTTTGCGCGATTTAAACCCGGATGATTGTAACCACTCTAAGTTCGTCTGCCCTGGGAAAGCTAGCGTGTCTCCGACATAGTGATAACACTCGTTGCCTTCTCTAGTGCAGCTCAA